AAAGAACACACTGTAAATATATAATAAAAGACACTTGACATTTTTAATTAATTTTGTGTATCAAGTAGTGGTCTTTTCAATTCTTCAACAGCAGTAGTAATAACTGGTTGATTATTTTCCAGTAACAGATCATCAGATGTAACAGAAACATGACGTTCATCGTATTGTTGTGGATTCTCCATACGACCAGCAATCCAGTTATTATCTAGTGGCAGATGAGTTTCTTCTTGATCATTGATGACCATTGGATTACTTCTTTTATGATAACGTTGACATGCTTTTATCATTTTGTATACCTGGTAAATTATATAGCCTGGTATAAAAATGCCAAAAACTGGACTGGTGACAGTTGGTATTGCAATTATATAAATTGAAGCTAGTATATCACCTACAGATATTTTAGAATCACATGATAAATTAAAAATAGACCCTTTCTTCACATACAGGAAGGAAGCAACACTGCTTGCACAGCCAATAACCATAGCTGCAAACATGATTAAAAATTCAAAAAAGTTATGAATATTTCTTCAAAAGGGACGAAAAATAATAACTATTACTGCAAGTAAAAATGAAAATAGAGCTTGAGAAAGTGGTATAAAGACATAAGGTGTCATGTACTGACTTAAAATGATTATTCTTACCAGTAGGTATAGTCCAGCCATGAAACGATAATCATAAGTATTCTCAGTTCCATTCTTATAAGGACCAGTAAACACATCACCCAGTGATATTAGTAGCTGTTTCCTCAGATGTAAACAATCCAATAACTTGTGAAACCATTTGAATCGATAAAACAATATACAAAGTGTTGGTAAGAGTATCAGAAACAATAAAACTATAATAGCAAAGAAACCAGTAGCTCCATGTACATCTTTAAAGTAATCCTGCTTCCTATCGTAATAGAATTTGGTAGTGTTAATACCAAACATTTCATTCTTAGGAGTAAAACTCAATATTTTAAAAGAAGTGGCAGCTAATTGAGTAAAGCAGAGTATATATATTGATGCTATGGAGTGAGTAAAAGATGGTTCAATGCCACTCATACTCCAGAAACGAGCCATGCAATGATGAAATGGTCTAGTAATAAATACTACACATTTAAAACCTTTATCATACAATGTTATCCAGCCATAGAGTAGGAGGAGGAGAAGCAATGGATAGAATCCTATCACATACCAAAAGGAAATTACTCCTAATGGTGTACTTTCTGACGTGCATATTGAATAACCATACATAAATTGTGTTAAATCTAGATTAAATAGATTGCATGGTACTTCAATGAGTGATACTATTTTATTATCCGGGTAATAATAATGAAGAATAGAATAATTTATCATTATTATTTGTGAATAAAATACCACTCCATTAATAGATCCATTGGTTAGTTGAATATTTAGTATTATTATTAATAATACCATGATTGTAATCACAAATATTTCTGTTACAAAAAAAGTTAGTAAACTATAATCATCACATTCAACACATATGTAGACATTATTTACAGGTACTCCCTTTGATGCACAATTAATGTAACTCTCCTTAGTCCTACTGTTATGACAGCATTCATAACGAATGTATTGAGATGAGCAAGGAAGTTTATAGTGTGGTTCTAGAGCCATATCACAAGTATTGATTGTGCTACAGTTCCTATTACTACTACAATAAGTTTCCAAAGTTATAGTTTTACTAGTATTGATATTAATTAGATTGAGTGTTTCAATATAAAGTGAAACTTCAATAGAATCAACATCAATATAGTCATTGAAACATTTATTTACTTGAAAACAATTATCACTGCAGCTACAACCATAACCACTGCTTGGTTCAGAGATTTTGTAACAGTCATTGATGTGGGAAGAATTAATACTACTACAAACATTAAGACCATATATCCAGTCATACTCATTGTTGGTGCAAGTATCTGTAATATAAGCATCAAACGAAAGATAATCGCACTGACAGTTGTCATGTCGATAGTAATCATAGCAATATAAGATATTAGCCATGTTGCATAATTGTAATTTATAATTTGGACAAGCTTTATTCCTTAGTACTAGATCATTGTGTGTAGTAATATCAAAGGATGGTTCAGTACATGTAACAGAAACATTGTTACAATTATAAAGACTAGCACATTGAAATGCAATGTACCTCAACCAGTTATATGAAGAAGACGAAACATGTAGACACGTGATACTAACCTCTTCATATCTACTACCATCCCTCATACCAATAATACTCACATTATTCCTCAGTAGCTGTTGCTCTAGTAGACTAGTAGTGTCTAGTGTATATGTACCAGGAGACAGGTTGATAAGGATACCTGATGAACAGTTGTATTGTAGAGTAGCAGTTCCTTGTATAGCTAGATCAATAGTAGCACAAGGTGTTTGAACTCCTCCAGTCCAACAAGAGGTATTGTTGATACCATCAGATGAACTAACATAGATCCTGCACTCTAAACTGGCAACAGAATATACCAGAACAAGAGAAAGAAGAGAGACAAGAGCCACTTTAGGTAGCATCATTCCACCAGATGATTTCTAACTCTAATAAGGCTAGACTATTGCTTTATATTATACTGTTTATTCTAAACAGGAACTACCTATACCATAGTTGATTAAATTTTGCTCTAGCCCATCCGCCGACTGCTATTGTTTCAGGTATATTTCTAACTGTATTGATAAGTTAACTTGGTACAATATTTATCACAACTGTCAAGCATGTTGTACCTGACTGGGACACTTTGACTGCAATAACAGTACGTGATCATCAATAGCTAATGGTATGTTTAACATACCATTAGCTATTGATGATCATGTACTGTTATTGCTCTTGATGCATTAAAAGGTTAAATGTCTGTAGCTGTATTACTATTTTAATTTAGTATGTTTACCATATAGTGGGTTATTTTCAAGGATAACAGATTTCGCGAGTTTCGCGCATTTTTCTAGATTTGCGAAACTAAATTCCTTGAAAATCAATTTAACATGGTATACAATGGCAGATTAGTGGAAATTTGCAAAAATTAATTCCACGAACCTCCGGATACTGGTCATTCGCAAAATTTATTATCCTTGAAAAGAACCCGCTATATACTATGTCTGACTATTGTGATTTCAATTCGTAACTAAGCACTTTTATACATGATACATTCATGATAATAATAATAATTATTATTGTAGACTAACTGCTCATTGATAATGCCTATCCCAACCCATGATGATGATCTATTGTTGTCTGGTTTATGTTAATGTAATTTTTGTACAGTATCACACCAGTTGGATTGTGTGCTCATTAACTGACCTGATGTTACCATGGTAGCCGTCATGACTGACCCACAGATAAGAATAGTGACAGCATCAATGAGTATACTGTCAATATACAAAAGTGAGTAATACCATAAATGGTAATTAAATTCAACACCCATAAATGGTAATTAAATTCAACATGTTAACACAGCAACCCTGTTTTGTTGCATTGTGAACCATAAATCAAATTAAACTAACCAGGAGGTTGTTATCAGTTCAGTGATTATTCCAAACTACTTTCTTCTGTCAAGGGTAGCACCCCAGAGGAAGAGAAGGAGAGAAAAAGAAACAGAAGGTATTCATGTGTTCAAGACACTCATTGATACAGGAGACCGAGAATTTAGCTCCAACAGACAAGTGTTTAATATTTATTAAGTAATAACTTTTTTCAATTTGTAGGATGTTCAAGAATTTTTTCCTCACCTATCTGCCATAGAACAAGCAGAAGTAAGAATTATAGCATTTTATCTTGTCATTTCTATAGCACACTAGTAGGGGTATAAGGAATGTTGCTAATTTATACCAGTATTGGTATTGACTGGTACTAGTCTATACATACATGTATTATAACAAGAGTGGTTGTGCCTTGATGAATGTACTTGCATTTGGTTGAGGAGAAGGTTACTTGTATTGTTGTTTCTGGTAAAGTCTGTTATTCAGTTATACCAGAATCCATATTGATTTTTCCTGTTCTAATGGAAACTGCTTCAAATCAAAATAGCTAATGATTACCCTCTCACTCTCTCTTTATTTTTTTCTCTCTATTTTAAGCTGAAGTGGCTGCTTGGAATAGGAAGATAGCACAGTTAGTTGCAAGAAAAAAGAAATTGTTAGTCAAATGCTGACAAAAAGTTATAAAGATGTTTTTGTGTATAGTAATCACAAGAAGGCAGTGAGAGCTAAAGTCTCTTTTTTGTCTTGTCTTGGATAGTATTCATCATCTGTTGATGTTCCAAACTTTTATTAACTAAATTAAAGACAAAAAGTACCATTATTATTTATTATTTTTAAAAAATAGTTTTGTTTATTTTAGGATGAATCCATTTCTAAAGTATCTTTTTGTTCAGCTAGAAAAATTTGCTTTTGATAAGAATTGGGTCCCAGTCAAATTGGTGAGTTTAATTGTTTGAGAAAACAACAGTTTTACCACATTTCTATACTTTTTCCTTCCCCCACTCTCTTTCCTCTTGTTAGATATTGATTTACCCGAGTGTCTTATCTAAAAGGATCAGGTATACAACTTGAAGAAGTAGAGCTACCAGAAGAAAGTGGACCAGCACAACCTGAAGGTAATAGAACACACACACGCACACACACACAGACACAATGTAATTTAAAAGATTTAATTAAATGTTGTTCTTGTATTTGAGATTGGGAAAGGTGTATGCTGTATTGTCACAGTTAGCCTGAATGAGATAAGGCCATATACCACACTAAGTAGTTTTTCATACTATCATACACTGGTATTGGAATAAGTCTTGTGTGTTTGTTTTTTAGAAATAATAATTAAAGCCTACCGTAAACTGGGTATAGACTTTCTTATTTTAAATCATTCTGTCTATCAGTTTTTTAATGATGTATTTCCCAAAAATAGTAATAACAGAGTACATATGCACTCTTGGTAATAAGAAAGCTATTGAAAATCAACATTACAATAGCAACTAGACAGAGCACCTGCAGGTGCAGAAATTAATTTAAAATACTTTTACTAGAAAAAGGAATACAAGTGCTGTAAAATTACACAACTTATTTTAAAAACATAATAAAAATAAGGAAACTATTGTACATAAGTACATATGAAATAGACTATTGAGTGAGTCCTTATAAACTGGACAGAGCGTTAGCTCATTGTATGTAACACAAAAGATGGCAAAAGGCCATAGGAGTACAATTGATTAAAAGTACATGTTTATATAATGATAAATTAACACAAAAGATACAACCTACTACTAGTCTATGTTCATGAGTTATAATTATTATCACATAATCATTAGAAGCCTACTACATCATATCCAACCTCTTCCTCTAGAGATTTTTGCACTCTAATTGTTTGTTCCTTGTTGCGACCTCCTCTAGCAATAGAGAGCTTCCTCATTCTCTTCATGATGCATCCCATAATACTTATACTATAGATATTATACAAATAGCATGAATGATAGCTCGAATTCTCTGCTTACCCAATAACAAGGATGAATATAGCCAATATAAGCAATCCTACTCCACTTCCTAAAATTGCATCCTCCGTTTTCAGAGATCGAGCTTTACTTGTTTGTGGTGTTGATGTTTGTGTTGGTAATGTTGCAGTGTTTGTAATTGAGATAGTCACTGTTTAACATACAAAAATACCATTATTATGCACAACTATACATACCTTTGCAGTCAACAGCAGCTACTGGTCCATTATAACTTTTTCCATCATCCAGCTCAATTGTGTGATGCCTACAGTCCTCCAACATGTCTTCATTTCCAATACAATAAACGTTAGAGAACCTTATGGCTTTGTTGGACCTTGTATAAGGCGAATTATCAACTGCTTCCCCAGCTATATGCAAATATAAAACTAGAATCATTATAATAAGGTTTAGTTAGACTCACCAGATGTGCCATAGGCTTTGAGTTGCTTGCATACTACTCTAGCATCAGCATCATCCCAACCATTAGCAGAAACAAGAGTCCACACTCCATCAATGCAAGCCTCTACATATCCTTCATAGGAATGCTTTCCACCTGTAAGTCGTATAGACCCTTCACTGCAATCTGGCATAATAATTAATAATACATCACACCATCATGTTAAACTTACTGTCACGACAGAGGAGACCAACTCCAGCATAAGAGTAGCAATTAAAATTTGGTGCCACAACCTTTGAGCAGTCAGCAATGTAGTTCTCATGACCAAAGCACTCAACATTCCCATAGATTACTGGACCATCCCCAACTCCAAACTCACCATTGGTGTAAATAATAGCTCCTATACAAATGAGATAATAATTTTCCATATGTCCACTCATTCACTCACCCTTAACATCTCCATATCCAGCTTGTTTACAGGCTACATGAGCGGCAGATTTCCTAAAGTTGCTGGAACAGAAACCACCCCATACTCCATTAGTGCATATTTCCAATCGACCTTCCCTGTCTATTGTACCATTGACTAGTCGTATCTCTCCTTCATTGCAATCTGTCCTGTCTGTAATATATGTCAGTGATCTAGCCAGCATTTTGTCGCAATAAACAATATGTATATACAGTGAGCAAAGAAACAATTAGATATGGGTACTATTGCATTAATGTACAGTCTCAAATGTTTTATTTATAATATCTACATGTATGAACCTTCTATAATGCTAGTAGGAGTAATCAACTTAATAACTTACAGTAGCATTTAAGACCAAGTGAGGCAGGGCATGTACAACTATAAAAATTTTGAGTGAAGCTACAGTATCTGAGACCATTGCCAGGGCATCTCATATATGCTATTGATTCTATCCCAGTTGACACACCAAACCGACTGTCTCTATATAATACTGATACTATTGGAATAATAACAATTATTAGTATACCATCATTACTGTTTTGTGTATGTTGATATGTTTACTCAAAACACTCAGATATGCATTGTGTTTGCATTGTAACTTACAGTTTGTTGCAACTCGAGAGTCATCAAGGCTGTTACACAAAAGTGCACCAATTTGTGCTGAGTTGTAGTAATAATAATAGTATCCACTGTAATAACCATAGACATATTTACAGAATGGAGTCCATGCATTTCTATAGCAGATTTCAACTCTTCCCTCTATACTGGTTTCAGTGTCTTTCCCGTTGACTAATCTGGTCTTGTAATTTTCAGCACAGCTTTCATCTACAGTTTTGATCGTAACATTAGATTAACTGTTAAAATGATTCTATTTTTACTTTTTGGAGCTGTTGTGTCACATGTAAGATAAACAGTGGTTGACAGTGGATTACAGTAACGTGCAGTTTGTCTGTAGAAACTTGAATACCTGTTACAAAAATTCAAATTACTATAGCTACTACTACAAGAAGAATATGGTCCAAATCCAAAAATAGGCCATGGCCCAGAACCAATTTTATATTGAACATCTGCAAAATTACAGTATAAATCAATGATTGTATATTTGTGTATTTACTGTTTCCTGTGTAGCCTAACTGCTTGCAAGCTACTTTTGATGTACTACACCTCCATCTATAACCACAAACAGCTGTCCAGCGCCCATTATTATCACAGATTTGGAGCATTCCACTTAAACTGTTAGAGCTGGATGTCCTGTTATTGTACAGACGAATGGATCCACTTGTACATGTACCTGGTGTATATAATTATAATGAGAAAAAAGCTCATGGCTAATAATAGTGAGCAATACACAAATATGTACAAAATTACAATCTATATAGTTTTGTTATGTAGCCACTTACCCATATCAAAGTCACATTGGATATAAAGTGTGTCTCTTGCAGTATTACAGTAGTAATGTGCATAATAGCTTGTAACATAACTGGATGAATTTGTCAAGCAATTGACTATTGTATTGTTGTTATTGTAGCATGTAGGAGTAGAGGATGATAAGGTATATTTTGCAACATAACTTATTGTAGACCACGAGCCATTGTTTGATACTGTCAGTGGTGCTATAATAATGACAAGTGTGCATTAAGGTATAGAAAGAAAGGTATAGACAAACTTGGATTAGTGTGACCCAAATCATTACAGAGAGCAACCGAATATTCTTGCCTCCATTGATAGTCACAGACAGCAGTCCATTTCACACCATCACAAATTTGAAGCATCCCTTTAGTTTCATTAGCCTCTCCATTGTCATACAGACGTATATCTTCAAAATTACAGCTCCCTTCTGCAGAGTGATTATCAATGTTATACAGCTCACATTTATAAAATTTACCTGTAAGAGAAAGAAAAGCAATGAGAACTACTTCTGGTATCAATAATAAATTCTTCATGGCTCTCTGCATCCAACTGCTTGATAATGCACTGCAGTATCAATGCTGCCTTATAAAACAAAGCACTGCATCATTTCCTCCTTGTATGACCACTTGCATAATATACTATGGGAGCTAATACATGCATGCTATGTATAACAAAACTTTTTTTACTCAGTAACAGTTCAAAGTGCACTTTATGTAAGGGGTATTGTTTCAATCAAAGAGCATGAGTCAATAGATTTATGATACCGGTACTGTTAGTTTGTTTATACAAACCTGACTTTATGAATAGCTACTTGAGTTTTGTAAATACTGGGTGTGTTTATGTAAAAATGCATAGAAGTTTTTATAAATGCATAAATGTAAATTCAGTATAATACAGCTATTTATATGACTATGATAAACATTGTACTGGTTATTTATAATGATCAACAGTACAGTATTTTATTTTAACTATGGTATACAAAGGCAGTCAGATTTTTTCCAAGTATTTTGCTCAATTGTCTGACCAAATTCTGTGTTCTTCTACCATTTTAACAACAAATCAACAATTATGATATAAATTATGTAAAAGTAATTTAACATAAAACCAATTATACATGTCCAACTGCAGGGTTTCCCGCATAGCAAGCTAAGTGAGTTAAACAGCATGCTTTATGACCTGACAAGCACTGAAGTACAGCACATGGCAATTGGAGCAACTTTTAAAATTCATTTTTAAAAAAATCCAAATTTAATCAAAATCAGCTCGAAGTTGATACACAATATAAGTACATGTATATGTATCAGAAAAAATTATTAAAATGAAAAATCCTCTCCTAGTCATTTTTTGAATAAATTTGGCCAAATCTAAGGCTATAGCCTTTAGTTGTTGGCCAAATTTTTTAGAAACTTAGAATTTACATAACTTATGAACTTAATCTGAATCAGCTCAAATTTGATAAACAACAAGAAACAGGCTTTGAAAGCTTTGAAGGCTACAGTTATAACAATAATGTGATCAAATGTAAATACATATCAGTTTATGTGATCATAGCTTGAAATTTTTTCTATTTTTAAGTAAATACTCATTGTTACAGTTACAATTTTTAAATGAATGACTAACCATTATTCTCTTTATTATTAATGTAAATAGAGCTGCTGATTGGAGGTTCAGTCAGATGGAGGCTACAACAAACGGAATAAGGTGAACCAATGGAGGAGGAGGAACAGTTCAGTGAAGAGCTGAAAGTGAGTTGATCTTTCAGTAGCTTTATATTTGAACCCTACATGTAATCCTCATTCCCATTAATCTCTATTTGTTCTTGATTATGCATACTATAGATATCTACCATGGCTCTTAGTAGTTCATTCTCTGGTTATGCAGCACTAGTTCAGAGAATAAGTATCATAATCATCACTTAAACAATTCCACTCAAACTGTGCATTAAAATATGCTACCCACTTAAACAACACTTGCTTGATTGAAGAATTCGTCTAGCAAGTACATCAGCATTTAAATCAATGTTAAACCAACTGTAACTCCACTGTAAAATATTTTGATATTTTTATATTCTGAATTCTTATAGCATTCTATTAGCATTCATCAAACTGGTTAATATGTGTGTCAGAGGCGTATTTAGGGGGGGGGGCTGAGGGGGCTTGAGCACCCCCCTCAGGGCTGGGCTCAGAAAAAATTACTGAAGTCCTGGACTCTTGCATCACTACCAAGCCTCTTAACAAAGTTATCTAGCCCCCTGATCATGATTTCAGCAGTTTCCAGTGCTTTAAGGAGCAATCAGAAGTACCAGTAACATAGCAGTATGCTTGAAATAATCTTGGCCCCACCCATAATTGACGAAAATGCAGGAAAAGGCTGTTTTACCGCCGTAAAAGTGGGTGTGGCCAAAATCGCGGCGCGCGCCCTCAGCACCTCCCTTCTCTAATTCCTAGATACGCCCCTGTGTGTCACATTCAGAAAGATGGCAAGTGGATCATATTTAATGACAACAAAGTAGCCACTTAAAACCATGCCAATATCTATATTTACAAGAGAGAACATTAACACATTGAGAGTGTACTACTGGAACTTTGTACTGTTGTGTGGGGTTTAAATAATATTTGACTATAAAAAGACAATGTAACAACCACAATAGAGCAAAACATAAAAAATTTAAAAAAAACAAGATTGAGTAGGATTCTAAAG